GGCACCCCCCAATGATCATCGAGGAGGGGCGAGGCTTCAAACACTTGCACAAGCAAGGCGCTAACACCAAACGACTCACCTTGGAATTGCAGAGACATGAGACATGAACAGAGTATGAGACATGAGGGAAGCGCGGATTCAGTGGGACCCCACTAGCCAAACCATGGTGGGACAAACACGGAAACGACAAGGAGGTGTTTGAAGGACTACTTGCCAAGTTCTTGGTCCTTTCGTCTGAAAATGAAATCCGGGCTGCTGCGAAGAGAAGCCAGAAGATGATGTTGCAAAGCGAAGCCAAGGAGGACTCAAAGCCCATTTGTGTCATTGAAGTGATCAACCAAGTACCACACGCCACCTGAACGGCCAAGAGCTGTTGTAAACTACTAGCCACCAGATGACCTTCAAACTGCTTTTCCCAACTCACCAAAAAAAAAAGAACACGTCGAGATGGGTGCCTTCACATGTCATGTCCCAGCCTCCAGGCCCACGGCCAGGATTCCGAGACAACTGCAAGTCAAAGTAAAAGCACTTGGCATCTTGCTCTCTCTAGCTCCCTTCGCTCCCTTCGCTGACCTTCCGCTGACCTTCGCCTTTTCGGGAGCCCTGGGCAAAGTGAAGAAGAGAAGGGATGAGAGCCCTGTGAAGCCACCGGCGATGTAGAACATTGCTGCTCCGCCAAAAGCAGATGAGGAGATCTCTTCCAGCATTACCATGAACACACAGCCCAAAGCAAAACCACCTGATCTGATCGCCACTGATCGCCGCAACGCAGTCAAGGGGGTCTTCCATGGAAGTCCCAGTCACGTGAACATGCATTTGAGAAGAGTTAAAAACGTCCAACCGAACGGTCGTCACTCTCCTTCCAAAGAAATTGATTTGATGTTGTAGGTTCAAGAGTTCAAGACTTCCACCACTAGCTCTCCAAAAGGATCCATAAAACCCCCGACCGTGACCGTCGTTTTTCATGACGCTCGGTCCACACCTTGGTTAAAGCTCTGCGCTGCGCTGCTGAGGCTTGGTTCTTCATAGAGCTCGGAGACCAGTAAGTTGGTCATCTGCCCAATCCAAGGCCGTGGTAAGACTTGAAAGGCAAAGACCAAGGTTAAAGCGTAGATGGAGGAACTGGCCAAAGGAAGAACCATAAAGAAGACTCCAAGCCATAGCAATAGGAGGCCAAGGAGAAGGTGATGATACTTCCGGGCCACAAAGGCCATCAAGCTCGAAGCTAAGCCCGACACGATACACATCACAGCTTGTGCCGCCGGCAACCACCCCAGAGTCTCAGGCGTCACATCCGCATTCGATGCCAACCAGGGAATGCTGGGTCCCAAGGCGCTACAAATCATGCCGAAGACCATCGTTGACATCGTGTAGACTAAAAGGTGCATGATGCGTCCCGAGCGCCTTCGTTCACCCGTCAAGGATTTGGACATCACCACATGCTCAGCACTAGACATGGCGATTCGAGTAGGATCGTTGTGATCCGCACCCCGAACGCGCGGAAAAAAGGGAGGAAAATCAAGCCCTCAAAAACTCGAGGCAATGAATGCAGGTACAAGCTCTGTCAAACATGAGAAGAGACACAAAGAGTGCTGACTCCGGATTTATGATAGCATATGATAGCCCAGGTCCCCAAGTGTCCTCCAGCAGTGCGAGTGGCAAGAAATGCAGGGACGAGACTGAGAGCGCTGTGTTGGCCAGCCTCAGTTGCTTTCGACATGCCTTCCAGGTGGTTAAGGCAAGAGGTGTCTGTTGGCATCACCCTGTAGAGCACTCACCAAAAAATGAACAGAAGGCACATGTGGGTACATAAGGTGTTTTCCTTCCAAAAAGTGAGCTGGTTACAAAAAGACGCTCCACACTCCAAACGTCGGCGGTTTCCCCGAAACGATGGCACCTGCAGTGCCAAGCCTTGGTGAATTCGCAGCAACTCGGTCAATCCGGTCAGGCTCCCCCACACGCCACAGGCATCCAACGCCACTGCGCCCGGCAGAACCGCCGCCACGCGATTGGCAGCAGCGGAGGCCGTCTCACCCTGGAATTCTAAAGTCTGTGAATGCATCCTGCAACCCCATGCGTCTTCATATGTTAGAAACCCCTTTCAGAAGGACCCCTTTCTGGGGATAACTTCCAGTTCCGGTTCGAAGGATGTGTGCCCCATGATCTCTTGCTGAGTTGACTCTCCCTACCATCCGCACTCCTCCAGCAGTCCGTGCCAAACACCCAGTGCTAGAGGCTGGGCAGGGCAGGCCTAGATGGGTCACGGTCCGAAGCCCTGCAGAAAGCGTCTCAAGGACTGGAAAGTCCATCTGCAAAAATGAACAAAAACAACTGCCTCATGAGAACCCATCAATCAGTACTTTTGTGGAACGAAAGATATTAGAATGGGACAGACGTAACATGCCTTCCCCAAACTGCTTGACTTCTCAATCTGTTCACAACTTGCAGAATCTGCCAGACCAAGATCCCAAAGAAAAGGCCTATAAGCCTGCGCCTATAATCCTAGAATCCTTTTTGAGCCACGCCTGACTTACCTCTTCATCTTCTCCCTTTGCTTCGGCGAAAATCCCGAACTGCTCAGTCTTCGGCCAATCGTCCGGCCGTGCCCAAGGCACTCTCCGTCCTCGGGCGAAGGCGCACGCCTGGACCGCCCAGGCTATCCACGACCTGGCAGACTGGAGGACGTTGGAAGAAACCACGTTGACGACTAGGCGGTTTTGGGGGGTGAATGGTTGCTGGCTGGTCAATGGTTGCTCACTACTGTCTGGTACATGCTGCATCATGTTGCTACATTGCTGGCTGCTGTTGGCTTACTGTTGGAGCTTGGCTACTGGCGAAGGGTGCTTGGTGGTTGCCAGGAGGGGGCTGGAGCTATAAATCACCTCATGGCCCTCATGGCAAGTTCACCCGATTGGAGGGTTGAACCACCTGACCGGACCTGGCAGAGAAACCTTTGAAGTTGGAAAAAGACAGCAGAACGAACGTGTCTTTCATTGGGGGTGACCTTGGTGACCTTGACCTTCGTTGTTGCCATTGTTTCCATGGTCTCTTTCCATGGTCTCATCCACGAGGATTCTCGAACTGAGTTCCGAACCCTGGCTGGGAATTGCACCTTGCCATCCTTCAAGTCAGAGACCTTCCGCTTTCGCAAGGGCTTTTGGGCAGCGAAAGCACTCACAACCCACCATGAGTTCGCCATCTACCAGCTGTGACTTCCGCATCGAAAAACAGTCTTAGCCTGTGGCCCACAGAAGTCTCTCAGTCAGGGTCCCACCTTTTGCATCTGCAGGGCAGAGAGAGGGGGCAGCGCATCGAACGCGGCCTGGCACCAGAGACTCACAGACTCTCAGAGACTCCAGGCAGCGGGCAAAGGCGGCAAAGCCCAAGCGAAATCTGTCCCACACCTTGAGGTCATCTGTATAGCCATTGGCGCCGGCCTGCATACGCTTTGCAGAGCCGTGTCCAAGTTCATCAATCACGACTTCGAATCCTCTGCTGGAGTTCCCTTGAGTCTAATCTTTAGCGGTCAAAATAGCCGTCTGTCGGATTTCCTTCATACTTTATCCAAATCCGAACAAACCAGAACGGGAACAACCTCGACTTCTAGTATAGTGGACCGCCAAAATCATCCCTCTTCAAGAAGCAGAACCCTTTCAGTTGAACGAAAGGCCCATGTTTTGACTGCCTCATCTTGGACGTCAATGCCTTAGCATCACCATGTCCGAAGCTCGAGAGAAGCGTCAGCCTGCACTCTGTGCATACTAAGCCTTGGACCCATGGCAGCTTCTGGACAGTGCATTCCACTACTGGTACATGAAATGTCCCTCTTCCCTTGTTAAAGGATAAAGTGACTGTTCAAAGCATAAGAAGGTCTTTACTACGTTTACTATCGTTGACAGTTGACTATTGATGGAACTTTGCAGGTGAATTTTGAGGCGAATACATTCTGGTCTCTGCATTCTTGTGCCTAATCATTTGGCTGTGAGGTTTCTGGCTGTGAGGTTTCTGGCTGCGACGCAGACCGTGGAAGTCAATCTTGAACAACTTCTGAATTATCGGGATCTGCTTGGGATCTGCTTGCCAAAGCGCATGTCACCAGAGTGTGTTCACAGCTCCCAAGTTTCACCAGTGGTTCGATTTATACCTTTTTTTTGACATGGAGCAGCTTTTTCGCTGCAGTCTGCTGCTTGATCTAGAAGCTGTTCAAGTTCCGAGCGATGTAGTCGGTCAATCGCCTTTGGGAAGCTTCTTCGGAGGTGTGCTTCGCCTTCTGCTCAGCGCTGCCCATCTCTAGCAGAGACATGACTTTCTGGGTGATCATGTCCAAGTGCCCAGTCTCAGCAACTTCACGTGCACTTCGCTCCTGTTCCCCGAAACTCGTGTCTTTGCCCCAAAAACAGGACAGCAACTAGTGACAATCAGTCAACCCCACAATACAAGCTGGGATAATGGGATATATATATATATACTCTAAACTTCGAAGTCAGAAGTTTAACTTAGCATTTGATCAAACACAAAGTTTAACTTAGCATATTTATATATATATATAGGTGCTTTTTCATCCAACCCTATACTCTATACAATTTCAACTCACCTCCACTCACCTCGCCTGAGAGGCCCGGGCACGACTCGCATGGTCTTGGATGAAGGACGTATGCTCCAGCTGCTCCACGTCGCAGTGCACTTCGGCACGGACGTACACGGCCAGGGCGACAAGGAGCTTCACCCGCATGAGCTGGAGGGACAGCTGGAGGGACAGACAGGTTCCGCAGCGCGTGGGGAGAGCCCGGAGCCCGGCGGATGGAGAGGTTTCGGTAGTTTTCCTTGAGCCGTCAATGCTTCAACTCACTCAAAGGACTGCCGGAGATAGCACTGATCAGACAACTCAAGAAAGGTGACAACATTGGAACCGTCCCTTCACTGTGGAGAACAGTTCTTCAGGTAGTTCCAACCACCACAGCCTGCCTGCCTCTAGGTCTCAACATGCCCAGGACTGCTTAAACTGATCTGCTTTGCCTGCCAGTGCTACGTGGCTGCAAGCTCTTCCGAGCTCTTTGCTCCCAGCCCCCGCTTTGCCGCTTCCGTTGCGCCCGACGCACCTTTTGGCTACGCGCTACGCTCGCTTCTGCGTCTTGCAGCGCCGCAGCAGGGCCAGCAGCAGCTGCCGAGCGCTGCGACCCAATAGGGCCGCGAGGAGACAAAGACCCAAAAGCTTCCACACAGGAAGGCCTGGGCTGTGACGCTTCAGTGAACAGCCGTGACTCCTGAGCTAAAATAGAAAAAATAAGATGTGCTTAGGACTCGCGAAAAGGGGTCTTGCCGTGGACAGCTTTTCTTGGAGTTGGTAGGCTGACGGCTTGCTCATGAACATGCCGCCGATTCAACTTAGAAGCGGACACATTCTGGGTTGATCTTCTTGGCAAGAACACACGTTTAAGTGAGAGTGAGGATGTTCAACAAATGCCAAACTTCGAACAATGCAAGATCCAAAGCCAGAACAGCTCAGGCACCTTCAGGTGGCAGTTCCTGCATCGAAAAAATTGCGCAGTACCAGGACTCATCTGTCTCTGTCTTCTCTTAGTTTCTATGAAAGACAGTGTAAGAAAAAGGGCCCTCCGTTGCATGTGCATTTCTCACCATCAGATTTTTGGGATTCAGCATTTGCCGTCGGCAACGATTGAATTCACTTCCACTCATTGAGGTCCTCGGGAAGGAACCGTTTGCAAGCGGGCATGGCCGGTGGAAGCTGCTGACAAATGGTCCGGAGCACCGGCTCAGCCTCAGTCACCGTGTCAGGATCCAAAGCCAAGAAGCATTGAGAACTGCCCCACAAACTACATGAGGGAGTTCCACTTTCTCATGTAAAAATGCTCACAATGTTCAATAGAATCTTGCAATTCAAGTCGACTCAACAGCCTCAACCACCAACCACTCCACACCTCAACCCACCAGCCTCTCGCAAGCATACTCCACACTCCACTCGCATACTCTCCCGCCTCGACCGGTCCACTGTAGCGCCATCCGTTCACACGGACCATCGTGGAGTCGCTGCTTCCCCAGGAGATGGCTTCTCGATCATCCTGGCACAGCTCTAAGCCACGTAAACACAAAAAAAGAACACCTACAAATAGGGGCCTTCCATATGGCCTTCCTAAACGCTACTCAATTCAGTCCATGCTTTGTGTCATCTTTTTGAAAATGTCAACGGGAATCTACTTTGGGTTATTTACATGAAACCGGCTTTTAAGTGGAGAACTCACTGGAAAGCACGCAAGCGTGCTCTGTAAGAGGCATAGAAAAAAAATTGAAAACCTTTCTGAAGCAGCCTCGAAAAGCGTTCCCCGATGTCCTCCCACTAAACCCGAGACCTGGGTCTTCGATAGACCCGATAAACGATTTCCGGAGGCTCCTCCAAGAAGGAAAGGCCTTCCGAGGCCACACAGCTTTCGATCTGCGCCACCTGAACGGCTGACAAGCCCAGCTGGCTGAGGGCGAAGCGACTCCCGGAGCCGCAGGTCGTGCCTGAGCAGCACCAGCGCTACATTTGGTTTTTGTTGGTTGAAGAGATCGGTTTTTTGGATGACTCTCATGGTCTTGGATGGGGTCAGACCTTCGGGCTACTACTTACTACTTCCTCTCACAGTAGGTCACATTGAGGATTGGCCAAAGTGGCTTCCAACTGATCTTCTCCCAAGAAAGACACTGGATGGTCAGCGAACAGCGCCGTAGGTGTCGCTGAAAAGGAGGGAACCCTCGTATTCACCACTGAAATTTTTGAAAGGAACGGTCGTGTTTCCAGCTGCCCTGTCATGCTGAGGTGCCGACCATGGCATCCAGATTCCACGTAATGCCACCAAAGCTTTGGGTGGCCACGCAAAAGACAGTGGTGTCTCACGACCTCCCAATCCCTTCCCGGTTCTGATTTCAAGCATCTCAAGTCTTTCAGGTCCAACTGTGGGTGATGGAGGAAAAATTGAAAAATGGCCTCAATTCTTGATTAAAAGCTATTAAATGTGGTCTTGAATGAAGTCGACCGGATGAATCAAACCAATCGCACTGCGCCAGGCCTCCTCCAAGTCGGCAGCATCCCCAGCGGCCGCGCAGAGCTGAGGCAGTGCTCGAGCACAGTGCCGGGCCAAGGCAGTGCTGGTCTGAGGCAGCAGCGCCAACGAAACTGCTTTTTACATGTAAAACGCGTATTTTCATGCGAAACGTCTCTATCCAACAAACCCAGTGAGTTCGTTCGCTTTGCCGTGCTTCATTTAGGACAAAGGCTTGCCTTTTATTCTATCAATGTCTTCTTAGAAAAAGGATAGGCTGAGGGCTCGGCCGCCTCCTCGAAAGGCACCACCCGCCAGTGTGGCTGAATCCGAACCGCTTCGTCAAGATCTCCTGCAGACAACCCCTGGGGCCAACCCGTGGTGGTGCTAGAGAAAGGCGTCAAGTTCAAATCACCAAGAGATGTTGTATATGGTTTTACCGTGTTTTATCCACATGCATACCAAACTATCGATATATCGAAATCAAACGGTCTGGGTTCTTAGCTTTTCTGAGAAGACCTCGTCAGTTCGCAGTGAGTCAGAAGAAAACTAACCATGAAAACACACATATACTTTGACTGGCGCAAACAAAAACACTTGAAGAGGACAGCATTCAGAAAATCACTTCTGGAGTGTTTTTGAATGCCTTCACCACGCGGACTGGAGCCCAAAAAAACTGCAACCGGGCAACGGAGTGCAGGTGCCAATTCGCGAAGGAGTGAGCTGGACCAACTATTTGCTGGTAGCCAAACCTAGGAGAGAAAAGCATCCTGATGTTTGTTCCACTGCCATTTCCATTTCCTGATTCAATCACCTTCTCAAGACCCTTTCACAGCACATCTGCCAACAAGAATACTCCACAGTCTTCCAACAAGCGCTCTCTCCACCCAAACGCTCTCTCCCTCGCTCCCCCAAACCATCGCCTCCGTCGCCGTCGCTTCAAACTCGCCCAAGCGACATCTAGCACCAGGGGCAATGGCCTCCCTCTCCCCCAAACCACTTCGACCTCGACGACGTCGCCTGGATGGTCCACGTGTCGACGTCGACGTGTCGGGCCCGGAGGATGCCGGAGATCGGATCCCAACGGCGAGGAGGTGCTCGTAGAGCAGTTCCAGAACGTGTGCTTTCTTGAAGAAGGTTCTTGTGGATCCAAAATGTTGACTCTCAAAGGTGAATCGATGAAAAGTGTGCTTCCCTGACTCCAGGGAAAAAAAGGTCGCAAACACCTCGCAAGGTTTTTTGTTGCTCCGCACCTGAAAAGAATGGGAAACAAAACTGACATGCCATTTAGTTTGAAGCCATCATTGCCTGGAAGGTTTTGGCTCCAAATTAAGCGCTGCTTGCCCACTGTTCCCTGATTCAGGATTCCCTATTATTGCGGTTGCAGGATTCAGAGCAAGCAAATGTCATAAAGCCCAATGAGTTGGCATTTGAACTGGCTTGGCCACATTTGCTCTGGCAACTCCGAGCCTACTGAATATACTCTGTGCCAAAAACAGAAGTGTTCACCACATGCTCCAGTGACCAAGGTCTTTTGGGGAGACTCCTGGTCTTGCTGCGAGCATGACCTGCATCACTCCCCTCCTCCGGCGCCTGCTGTGGTCGCATTCACCAAAGGCCAAGCAGCGCGCTGGCCGATCAGCAAAGTTGGGATCAAGCTGAGCTGCCCTCAAAGGGGTTGCTGTCAAAGGTCAGGAAAGTGGCTACAGTAAGTTCTAGCAGGTTGGAGGCCATCGCTATTAGGTTGCCATTCAAAGGTCAGGAAAGCAGTGGCTACATTGAGTTCTAATTCGATATGATGTCTTCTCAGAGCAAGGCATCACCTTGCGAACTGTTGTTTTTTATGTCCGAGAAGGAATGGACTCGGACCAGCAAGTTCGGATCTTGCATGTAGAAAAGAACACTGCGGACCTTCCATGGCGGTGCATTCCCGACAACGTCATGTTCTGCCAAGACACCCTGTGTGCCTGCCACAAGGGTCTCAGCCACCTGCATCAGCTCCGAACTGAGCATGAAGAAAAGCATGGATGCTTCCTGCAACGAACCTGTGATTTAAAAAAACACGGACGAGTTGAATGAGAACCTACTACAGGATGCTATCAGCACTATCGAATACCCCATGAAACCGCTGTACTTTCCAAACTTCCAGTCGATCCCTCCTCCAAAACATGCTTCAATCAAAAGAAAAAAAGTGACAAAATACAAACTGAAAAATACCTCCAAACCTCCCCAACCGTCACTCCCAACCGTCGCCTTCGTGTCCATCTCCTCCGAGGCCTCAAAGTCTGCCACCACCAGCCCCACCGCGCCGCGCCGCGCCGCCGCCGCCGACTTCGCAGCGAAGGAGCACCGCCCACGACGCGCCAAGTGCAGCCGGGGCGGTGCCCCGTCGGGGCCGACGGGGCCGACGCCTGGAGGGCGGGGTGGGGATGAGAGGATGAAGGATGATGCAAGTCTTATCAATTCATACCATTCTGGGTATATGAGAGGATGATGCAGGATGAAAAGTTTCACTATGGTTGTTTGATTCACTGAAATAGGAAGCACTTGCAGACACGATCAGCCGCTCCTAAGCAGTAGCTTCTATGGGACGGCGGTCAATACAATGTGTCCAGGATAGTCCAGGAATTTGCTGGTTGATTCAGTTGGGTGATGTAGGCAGGTTCGCATGAGTTTTGTGAGGTTGAGATGTTTCTCGGATCTGGATATCATGCAGTTTGGCAAAGGATATTGATGTTATGACTGCTGATCTTACTTTATGTCACTATTCAAGCATCCGTCCCGTTCGTGACTGCCCAAGGTTAACGGCAAGAGATCGTTGAGACTTGCACGATCTAAATTTAAATCAGCTCCATCAGCTTCCCCTACTTGGCACCCAAACCAACTGGCTGCTTCAACTGGGTTTTGTTTCTGTGTAAGACTCAAAAATACCAACCCAAGTAACGCCCTCCATGCTTTAGTAGTGATTGGCATGTTTCAAGAAATGCCCGTCCCAGCATATGCCCGATACAAAAAAAGAATTGAAGAGTTGAGGACAATGACAATGTTGCGCAAGCACCAGCCAATCACAGCTTCAGCTTCATCAACAAAACATAACAAACTACCAGCTTACAACTGGAAAGTAGCAGTTTGAAAGCTCCAGCCATACCAGACTCAGGTTTCGGAGCCCGACTCGCGCGAGTCGGCGCCTGTGGCATTCGCCTCGCAGCCGTGGCGAGTCCAGTGGAGCACTCCCCAGATCCGCTGCTCCGGCGCGGGCGCAGCAAAGGTGGCCGTGGCTCCCTGGCATCGCTTGAGGTGAGCGTCGCGTCGCGTCCGGGTTTCCGCAGGAGTTGATGCCCGGGGTGGGCCAGTCTGCCCGAGGGTTTCCGGAATGGTTCAAGAAATGGTTTGTTGCTTCACATCTAAATGCTATTAGGAACATTGGGTGGTTGATTTCGGACACAAAACAAACCATGGATGACTTCGGAACATATTTTTTGCCTGAAGCTTTCGGCCTCGATACATCCTGGTGGATCGCGATCGGCCAAGGCTTCTCGGAGGCTCTCCGGAGACAGGACGCACAGTTGCGACAGCGGCTTCTCGACCGCGGCAGCCCACAGAGCCTTGGAACACAACACGAGAAGGGAGGGGACGCAAGCCAGCCCTCGCAGAGACTGGGAACAAGAAGAACATGAACTTTGAATTGGTGCAATAATCCAAGTCGGCCGATTTGGGGTGTCTCACATGGTTGTTCCGGGCGCACGCTCACCTCCCAAATCGCTGCTGGGATGCCCAGAAGATCCGCACGTGGAGCATCGAAGCATCGCTCGCTTTGGGGCGGCACGCACAGCTGGGAGGTGCCTAGACCTCTTGTGGTTCAGACAGTGCTACACAAGTGTTACACATGCGCTCTATGTAATCTGTGTGTTCGTTCCACCTTGCAAGGAACCTGCGTTGAAGCAGCAAACTCTACACAAGACTGACTGTGGATGTTCACCACTGTTCTGCTTTCATCGCCAATGATCCTTCGCTGGCAGGACCGGATCAACCCATTCAAACCCAGCAAAGCTTGCCACTTGGAGCTCTAGGGCGCTGATGAGCCAAGACCCGAAAACAAATTCATCCAGAGCGTCCCGTGAATGCAGCACTCCTCCTTGCTTATAGTCTTGAAATGTGTCAGGAAGAATAGATCCACCAGTTGTATACATAACGGCTGACCCACAGTCCCCTTAGGCCTTTTGGTGGTTCCTTTAAGCAGTTGTTCTGTCTTAGGTCCACGACCACCGCCATTGGTGTCTTTAAAACGCACAGGAGTGTCAGGTCCACGACCAACGCCCTTCACTCGCTCATCTGTTTGACCTAATCGTGGCCTCGACGGTCCTCACGCTGAGCTTCGGCGATGGGCCGGGCTCAAACACTCACGCTTCGCGGAGCTATTGGGGAGCCGAACGATGAAAACGCTGAGGAGCGCAAGCTTGAAATACAAAACCGATCAAAAATCGCCTTCAGTTTCCTGAACGACTTCCACTTGACTTCAATGAAGTTCGAAGTCAAAGTCCCCGTCTCGCCATGCGAAATCACCCGTCTTGGCTTCTTTGCGCCTGGAGACCCACAAGAGAAGACTACAAAACACTCGTTACTGCCGACTTAGTGCATATCATCGCGATGCACCTCGAGTCACAAGAGACCTTCTTTCACAAGCTATTGGTGCTCGTCAACCAGGAAGGTCGAAACGGACATGACCTTGGCCAAAAGTCTCTCAAAACCGATGTGCTTTCCCAAGCAATCTACCTCGTAAGGGAAGAAAATGTCAATGGTGATCTTCAGCTAGTCCAAACAAACAGAAGTTGGATACGAGTCCTTCCTCGAACAAACACGACTCCTATTCCCGAAAAAAGACCACGTCCAGAAATCTATTCGTATCACGTCCGGTGCTTGCATCGCCAAGGCACCGCCTGTGTCGTCATGACCTCGTTTTGGTGGACGACGGAGCACAACGAACGAAGCGAACGTCGGAACGAGCAACGGAAAGACGACGGGAACAAAACGTCGTGGGACTTGGAAGACCCGGGCGTTTTGTGTGGGTTGCCGGTGTTTTGGAGACCTAAAAAAACGACCCTCAAATAGAGATGAAAAGCAAGTCGATCCCTTTCAACAGGTGGAAACCGTGCCACTAAGTCTGCTGTGGGGATCGCTATAAGTCTGTGGGGACTCCGGAAGAAACCGAGAGGAAGGGTGAGACGAAACACCACCAAGGCGTCGGCCATCACAAGCAAGCGCATGGCCAAGGTCAGCAGCCGGTAAGGCTCTTCGGAGGGTACCTGCGAGTATCCATCTAACAGCTCATTGAGAGGTGGGTCTAAGCACTAAGCATCTCTTAGCGGGTAGCTCAAGAACTGATCCAAACAAGAACAAGGAGAGGAAGGAGAACAGCTTCACATAGTCACCCAGGTGACAAGCACAAGAACCTCCTTTTTGAACTCAATCCCTTCTGAGACACCCACATGCACCGACACCGAGTTCAAAAGGATGATCAGGTGAGCACCTGTGCGACCAGGCGAGCTTCCAGCAGGGAGTCACTCCTTTTGGCAAAGGCGACCTTCTTCGGAGGGTCGGCCCTCTGGTGGTCACGTCCCAGGATTTGGGAATCAGCAATTCGAGTACCATTTGTGAATGTGTTATTTTTCCTACTATCCTTACTACACTCAAATCCACCCGGTGATTCTGTGGTCCATGTGCTTTTATGCATGACCAATATCAGAACAAATCGACGATCGACGATTCGACGATCGAAGATTGGATCTTGCACGGTATCCTTTCTCCACTGACCCACATCGATCCGACACAAAGGACTAACATCCCGTCAAACCACTTGGAGGTTCCTGAGTTATTTACTGTCAGCTGCCCGTGAAACCGCACCTATCGCATGGGCGATGCTGGTCATCTCTTGACTTATCAAGTGCCTGGCACCATGGAACAGGAAGACTTGAATCAGAGCAGATTCTAGTGGCTGGAATTCCTCTTGTTCAGTCTGATGCAAAAGAACGCGGAGTCCGCGTTTTCATGCTTTTTGCTGGAAAAATGTCTTCTTCGCCTCCTCAACGTTCGTGATGTTGATTCATACTCCCAGGGAGCAGCTGGAACCGTCAGCACACCCAGCAGCGAGGAGGAACCCCACAAGGTGCACCTCAAGCTCATCAGCTGATCAGCCTAGAGTCCAAACCTCCCCAAAAAAGGCCTCCATCAGCTCGCGCAAGGTGTTTCAAAGTTGTTTTAGCTTCATGTTTCTGCAACCTCATATCTTGGAGGACGAAGCTTCGAGTCTTTCTTTGTCCAACATGTCTTCCAGTCTTCCGGACCTGACGAATTCAGCTTGGGCACATGACCACAAAGCTCAAGCCTCGGCTGGTTCTGGGAAGGCAACAACACAGATTGGACCTGAACCCGAACGACAGCACCTGGACCTGTTTTTCTGCAGTTTCATGGAGATCTTTGCCACCCTGCACCCCAGTGTAACGGTGTGGTTTTTCACCTCCTCACGCGCTCGAAACAAAAGCAGAAAAAGCGTGAGTACTTGGCTGAAAGCCAGGAGGCCCCTCCAGGAGAGCTTATCTTCCAGAACATTGTCCACATCATCCAGCTTGAAAGCCTCGCAAATCACCGGTCGTGGAGCACAGGTCGTGGGGATCCGGGATGGGTTCTCCATCTCTTCTCGGTCCTCCCATCGGGTCCTCCCATCGGCGTCTCAGACACAACTCGGAGGGATCCACAGAGCTCGATGGATGCTCAATCCTCTTATTGCCAGAGCTCTTTTGAACGGACCAAGGGCCAAAAGAGCAAGTGCACACATGTGCATGTTTTGCACATGATTTGTGCGTGGAAAATCCCGCCGCGGTGGAACGCAAACATGTTTCGCGTTTCCCACTTGTGCTAAGTTTATGGTCTTCTCAGCTGGACATGATCAGACCATCACGAAACTTCAAACATCACACACATATCTTCACCTTGGGTTTCTTGTCCGCGGAGGGCGACAAAGACTGACCATCGGGCATCGCAATCGCACTCTCTGGGCCTGGTTGGGTGAACTGGCTGCTCTGCTGATGGGAACCACTTGGCTTACCTCAATCGATTCCACTTCGCTTCGAAACATGTCGAAACACTCGCCCTCAACAGACTGGCCTTCGCCTTAGGCCAGAACACATCTTTCTTCGGAACCGAACTCCCGCCCTCCGCCCCCCCCGCCCCAAAAGAAAGGAAAAGTCCATCACTTCGAGATCCCGCCGAGGGAAAGGGGATTCTAGAAGAACCAAAAGGAAAGTACATCCCTTGACCCCTCCAAAAAAACAGACCACGCATCCCGTCGACCCGCGTCGATCCGTCGATCCGTCAGTCCGTCGGTCCCGTCGGTTCCGGATCCGTCCCGAGCGGCGCCGGTGGTCTTCTCCGTGCGCACGGCGATCTGCGTCCCACCGACCCGATGGACTCCTCGGCGGTGAAACACCGGTGGAGGCGGCGGAGAACACGAGGTGCTCCGATGGTTGAAGGACGGTGGAGGCCATAGGGGTGGGGCAGGAGGTTGGGGTGTTCCAGGTTTGGGCCAGATGGGTGGACCCATGTGGGTGGGCCATATGGGGATGTCTCATGAGTTTGAGGTTTGTTTCTTCATATCTCAGCGTTCACTGTTTTTTTTGACGTACTCATCGGTCTCGGCGTTGTCCAGGTCGCACGTCTGGTGTTTGGACAATGCGACCAGGCAGCTATTTAGGTTGGAGATCAAGCTGAGGCCAAACTGCTCAGTTCGCCTCAGAATCTGACCAGTCAGTAGGACGAATCAATTCCAAAATAGTTGAAGGTGTCATTGAAATAGTTTCCAGTGTCAATGTCCCTACTGAATGTTGCTGAGCAGCCACATGCATAAGCCCAAGATTGCTCCGATCAAATAGAGAACAGTGCCTGCAACTCTTCACGCAAATCATATTCATCTCTGAGATGCTGCTCTTGATGCAAAGGTCCTCAACTTCACCACTTTACAACACCATGACCATCATGACTTCCTAGTGTCACGTCAGTCAATCGCGGTCCAAGCATAGACCTCCCAGCCAAAAGTGAAGGCACACAGGGCGTGGTTCTTAACTGTCCGTGGATCAAACCATTTGCGCCAAACAACCACACCTTGGACACCAATCAAGGTGGTATAGCCTGTGAAGATGCCAGGGCCTCGGCTTTCTTTCCAGAAAAAGCCCGCTCAGTTCGCTCAGGCCACAGTCCAGCTTGGAGCCGGACATGCGCAGAACCAAAAGCCAATGCCGCCCACAAAGTTGCAAACTGAGGACCACCAAACCTGATGTTCGTGCGTCCCAGGGCGAAAATCCAAGCCTCCAAAATCCCAAACCACCCCAAAGACCCCCACAAAAGAAGGAGCAGCTTGGACAGCTACTAGTTCCTTATTAGTTCCGAAGTGAAGGAGAAGAAACCAAGACTTGATGAAAAGGGCCTGATGCAAGAAGCTCTTTCCTTCCTCTCATACTTATACAATTCATGTCTTTTTGCATACCTTTGTAACACCCGGAGCACGTCTTCCTTCGCACATCTGAGGAGCAAAGGTGTTGGGAGCTGTCGCCCAGCATCGGTTGTGGATGAGCTCGCAGCATCCGCCCAGGAAGAAGCTCAAGCCTCGTCTATTCGTCTTCGGATCCAGGAAGTGACACCACTGAGTCCAATGGAAACTCTGTCGTACTGAATCAGAAATCAAGATTTATTGTCAGATGAGGGAAGTTGCAGAAGGAAAAAAAGAAGAACGCTGGCCATTGTACTTCAAAAGGACTTGGCAGACGCGGAAAGGTGAATGTTGTGGAGTATTGCTGAAGTATTTCAGGAACTCTCTTCTCCGAATCAGGGAAGCCTCCAAAGACCAAAGGCCACCCCACCAAATAGTCATGCTGGTCCTGCCAAGCATGGTGGATCGGTGCGACGGCCACTGCACTGAAACGGCCACAGAAACAACGAGACCCTTCTGACTTTGGAAGCAGCTTGACTCAGTGACCTCTTCCAAGTCGAACATGTCTGCCACATTGGCCACTTGGTAGAGGATTGCCCCAGCCACATAGATCAGCCATCCTATGTAGACGCAAGACTTGAAATTCAGGGAATGGTCATTTTGGTCATTGATCATGCTGGATGGAATGTCTTGTAATCACAGTGTTCTCACTGAAAATCCCCATCTCCGACTTGGCTTAGCTGTCCATGTCCCACCCGGATTCAATCCACCGAATCCGGATCAACGGCAACGGCAAGCTGAGGCCCCTGACCGGCGATCGACGACAAGGGCTGGTACCAGTAGACCTCGCTGGAGCCTGGAACGCAGGTTCGCCCACCCAGTTCCCTCAGACCCCACGGCGCCCGCCGTCCATGCGACCTGGGGTCCGGGCTCGAGTCGCTGTCCGACTCGGCGTCGCCCCGGTCGCTCTCGCCTCGTTTCGGCGACACGGACCCATGCTGGCCTTTGGAAATGGAACGGGCTATGAATCAAAGGTTTATACTACCATGAAGAGGTGGTAAGGAAGAGCATCTACGCATCGCCTTCCTCTCGCTGTTGGAGAAGCCGGTAGAGCCCCTTCCAATCGCACCAGAAGAAGTTGGGGCCTCATTTCTCTGGCGACACCGACTGACCCAGAACGGGCAAACATGTTGTGTTGGAGTGTTCTGCGACCCTGTTTCATCGACTCGTATACAGCTTACCAAACAGATCCAAACAACCTCTTGGACATGTTGCTACTCAGAATGTGAGTTCGAAGCCTAGAGGCGGGTTAAGCTGGTGTCAGTGTCCATGTTGATCAGCTCAACATAGCCCATGTAGATCCCAGCTCCAAAAATGGTGGTTCCCATCAAGATGGGCATCTTGGCAATCCAAAACCTCAACGACTAAAGTCGGGCCCACCATTGGCACCATGCTTACAGGATCTTAAAGGCTCCAGGCACACTGCCAAATCTCCATGAGAAAGATTAAAACACATGTTCAAACTCAATAGCATTAACGGCACGTGTGGAAGCAAGTGGATTTGATTTGGAGACCTGTCCACATGTGAGAGCAACCTGTCACCAAGGCGCTCCATCCGCTCGGGAGGGTGTGCCCAGTAGTACTCAAACAAGGGCTGCCAAAGAAAGAAAAGGCAACCCTCAACCTCAGAAGAAATACTGAAATACTATAGCTACTATACGAGATGGCTTCAAGTATTCTACTTGCTATTCTTCTTTCTTTGTAGGCTCTTCACGTTCGCCAGCGTGAACCACTGTTCACACATGCACAAGGGGGCATGTCTAAGTATCACACGAAAAGTACTCCGATCCTCAGTGCCAACAAAGAGAAGCGGACAAGCTTCCGTTTTGTGTTCGTTTTGTGTGTGACTTTCACAAACAGGGAGTCCTTCAAACAGCAAATCCGGCAAATGTTTCCAAAAGAGCCTATCGCTAAGCACATCTATCCCATCCCGTCTGCCATGAACTGCATGGACGATGCCCCTTCAAACATCGTCCCAGAGTCCAATAAGCACAAGTTCGTCGAAAGTTGTAGGCTGACACCGTCGGATACCAGTACTCAAAGGTGCTCATCCTGCGTGACAAAGATTTGGATTGACATCGGTGCCCAATCCAAGCAAATGTAGCACGTGTAGGACGACCTGGCCTGTTCTTGATGTGGGTCGATTCCACATTTTCTCCTTTGGCTCCTTTGCTGTCGCCCTGTCCTGAAGCTAACTGTCTCGTAGACCGTGAGCGGCAAAAAAATGCCACAAAAATCCAACAAACACACCGGGAAAACATCTATTTGCAAAGGAGGCTCTCCACTTCAGGTAACTGTCCCTCCAGTTGCAGTACCTTATGTCGTCCAACGTTCTTCGTGCAAAGAATATCAAAGAAGATCCAAACAGATCGCCACCGGACCTCTAATATCGCCAACGAGAAACTCAGCGTGGTAGCCTCTTTCGATGAACTCCTTCGTGAAGTCATGGAGGTCGTCTACCTGATAAGTCGAGTGGTGGACGACCATGCCGCCCCCCGTGCAATTCTCGAGTGGTGTAGAGTGGTGCTGGGTGGCAGTTCGAAAATGTCTGTAACCCAGCAAACACCAGAGACGAGACTCTTCTGAGACTCGTCTCTCTTTGGCCTCCAATCATTTCAGACTCTAAGACTTCCAAGCTATGTCTTCCAAGACCAGAACATCTGAGCTCACGACCGGACGCCGCGAGGGTGGCACGTCTTCGGGCCCCTCAGAGGATGATTTGGTCTGATCGTTGGATTTACGAGCAAGAAGCGTACTCAACAACTGCAACGCCGTGTGTGAACACACACTTTCAGCTGATCTTTCACAGAAAAGGGCAGCAGACGCAACACGCTCTTTTGATCGCGTCTGGCATGGGGTCGAGCGATCCAGTAAATGATTGTTGAGAGATCATGAGACTGGTGCCCCCTGAACAGTCAGGCTGGTCATCAAACCATCAAGGTTGAACAACATGAAATCAAACACACAAACAGTCTGATGAACATCTGCAGGAGGAACTACCCAGTCAACAGATCAAGGATCCTCTCCCCCCCTGCAGATTTTCATCCACAGGGAGGGAGGGAAGGGTCAAAAACAGCCAGGGTGATCACCACTCTAGCCAAAATGGCATACGTGTGGTGTATCATGATCATTAGTTACCAAGACACAGCTGAACAGCAGTCCAAGAGTAACTCACCTATACCAGACCTACCTTACCGTCAATAGGTAACCTACTCAACAACTGCAACGCCGTGTGTGAACACACACTTTCAGCTGATCTTTCACAGAAAAGGGCAGCAGACGCAACACGCTCTTTTGATCGCGTCTGGCATGGGGTCGAGCGATCCAGTAAATGATTGTTGAGAGATCATGAGACTGGTGCCCCCTGAACAGTCAGGCTGGTCATCAAACCATCAAGGTTGAACAACATGAAATCAAACACACAAACAGTCTGATGAACATCTGCAGGAGGAACTACCCAGTCAACAGATCAAGGATCCTCTCCCCAGGCCCTACGAGAACATGAAACACTTCGGCCACTCTGCAGGAACCGTACACCACCCCGCCTCCTGGCCTCTGTTCAGATCATTCCGCGACGGCCAGTCTGCGGGGTTTGCGTCCGTCGAGACTCGATCGATAAAAATCCTACAGCGGAGCCGCAGTGCACGTTCCCAAAATATAGATATGATCTCACAGACGTCTGATCTGCTCGAATAGCCCTTGATCAGGGCTGCTTCAACAGCTTCAGAGTCGATCAACAAAATAACATCCGCGTTTACGAGGCGATCGGCAAACGTTTCCAGTGCGAGCACTGGTGCCATCATCTCGATCGGGATGATTTGGGTTGATCTGTGGAGCCACTTTCTTGAAATACTCAAGGGAATCACTTCGGAGAACTGGCGGGGTTTGGTCAGTCTGCGATCGAACAGCACCGCCCCGACTCGGTCAGGGAGGCGAGTGGCGAGAGCCTCACGAGGATCAGGGGTGAAACCATCAGTAAAAATTACAACATCTGCACGCTTCGAAATTTGTCGATCGATCGTCCTGGGGGGGGCCGGCTTCGATCAAAACAAGCCACTGTTTGAGAGCCTCCCTTAAAGGTAGATCAAGACCGAATTTCGGACCGAGCGGCAGACGCATATACTGACGTTCCGAGATCACTCTTAAAAAGGCCCTACCTACTTTGCCCCAGAGCTGGGAGGCCCCGAACATAAGCTTTCCTTTGAGCTTCCCAGCCGTCCCCGGGTCTAACACGTCTGAGCTTAAAATGCCCTGGATCTCTGCGGTCAAATCACTCCGCCGATCGGGCTTAATTTCGAGCTGCATTTCACTCAGGTTGTAGGTCACCCCCCAGGATCGTCGGGGACGAGGACAGCTGCAATTTCTTCTGGTCAAAATGAGCTCCGAGCCAGGTGTGAACACATTCGGCTGCCAAGCGAGCACTCTTCACTGAGCCGAGCGGTTCAAACCCATACTTGTCGTCGTAAAAACTAAAGGCTACGAGCTTAAACAGTTTAACCAGAAATTCGTTGATAGCAGCCGACCGTCGATTGTAGTTATAGACCGCCGACACTAACCCGAACGAGTGACCGATCATGACGAAAAACGCAGGCTGATCAGTTTCAGGGTTCTTCAAACAAATCACTGAAAACTTTCTCTGATCAGGGCGAATGGCGACTTGACGATACGCCTTCCTCTCGTCCAAGGCCCAACCGCCAAGCTCATCCTCTGGCAACTCCGAGCGGAGCCTCCTCAAGGCTGCCACGTTGGTGTCAGTGGAGGGGAGCTGCAGTTTCTCTGAGATCTCAGTGATTTGATTGATCAAATTTGTCGTGGCACTGTCACAACCTCTGACCTTGTTCTTCTGCACCACCTCAAACCTTTGTGTAGGGATCCAGTCATCACACTGCAGGAAGGAGGAGATCTCCTCTTCGGAAGCCCAGGGTCCTACACATGACCCTTCTTGGCAGTCTTCCAGAGTGGCCTCCCAGATCTTCTTGAGATTGTCAGTGACTGGGACCCCGTGAACACGAGACACAATTTTCTTGCGCAACTCCCAGGCCCGACCCAAAGCAACGTCACTGGGACCACCTTCTGTGGCTTATCGTAAGGTGGCCACCGAGTTGAACAAGCAATGGGCCCCACGATGTTGAACCCGTGGACCAGATCATTGGGCAGGGTGCGATCGCACGAATTGCAGGCTTGGAGCATGGCTTCGTATAGAGCTACATGGCAGACTTGTCCCAACACTGGTGTCATGATCATCACCACACCCTTTGAGCAGTCGACGTAGGTAGGGATCAGGCTGGGCGTTGATCAGCCGGAGCGACGCCGGCAACAGACGGTGAGCTTCAGCTTCCCAGAACTGCAGAGCTTGAAGACGTAGGTGAACAACCTCCGACACGTTCGAAACCAAGCTGTCAATGCTAGCCGCGATCGCCGGCTCCAAAACGACTGGCAGAGTGAACGGGTGCGTCACACGCAGAGCCCAATTGATTGCTTGTCCCGGCTCCATCTCGATCTCGAGGAGCGGCTTCTGAGCCCCACGCTTGAGCTGATACCCTGCACGCAGGGCCGCTTGTGCGGTCTGTGCTTGACGATGACCCAACCACGGGCGTCCAGAACCAAGAGCTCGTTTCCGATCGGCAGCAGGGGTCGTCAACGCGAACGTCAGTGCCAAGTGAGCATCATCTTGTCTCCAGAGCCGGTGAATGCCGAGGGCCAGGACGCCGCACAGAGCGTGAGGGTATTCTTGCGCCAGCTTGGTGCGAAACACCATGCGTTGTCGACGAGCGTCCCATACTTGCCCTTTGAGGCGCACATGAGAGTGGTCACCCGGGCAAGTTTTCCGAGCGTCATCCAGGAACTCCGACGAAACCTTCAAACGAGTGGGTTTCACAGAAGGAGCACCGAAAATGCATTGGTCCAGGTCCAAGTCGATCGCACGAGCCGAGCTGGTCAGGTGGCGCATCGGCGGGGTGAGCCAGATCAAGCTGAGCAGAGGATTCTCGATGGAGAGGTCGCCCCCCGTGAAGAAGACCACAAGAGCCAGTTCGACCGAGCGAGCCAGAAACATATTGCCGAGAAACACCAATGCAGCATTGTCGAGCGACAGAGTTCCAAGTCCCATAGGCTTGTCCTTGGAGCGTAAGGGAGGTGGTCCATTGTCGAGCTTCCGGGCAGAGCTAAAGGTATTGCACGGCGTGCCCAGGTGCACAAAGAACAACAGACCCGCATGCGCGAGCTTCATGATCCGCTGCCAGAACTGTGCATCAAGGACATCGGCAATCTCAGGCACCCGTTCAGAAAGCTCAACATCCACCGGGGGCAGGATCGGCATACCCAGGAGAAAAACGTGTTGTGTCAGCCGAGCGGTTCCAGAGAAAACTTCTAGAAAGAAAGGTCCGTGAACACGTACGTCTTGGAGCCGGAGAGGGACCTCAGACCACGCCCGCCACGGCCGAGCCACTGGAGGCGACTCAGCCGCTTGGCCCCCATGAAAATCCCCCGGAGGTGGGGCAAGGTCCTCCAGGGGGGGGGCTGCCCGAGCGTTCAGTGGTTCCCGTGCCAAGGGTGGCCTTGGCCACACTCAACACAGGCGTGCTTGTGCTTGCACTGATCACCAAAACGACAACCACTTGAGCAATTGTAGAAAGGACAACGGCGTGGACCTGAGTACTTGAAGGAATTGACCTTGGTCCACTCCTCGGCCGGGATCCGCGCATCACGAGACGGCTTGGGGCCGTTCGGCTTGTCTTTGCGAGCACCTGTTGGAGCGCTCTGAGCCGCTTTGAGGGACCGGAGCTGTTCCTACCGCTCTCGGCGAGCTTTGTTCTTCTTGGCCTTGGCCGTCGGAGCCGGCGGAGTCCGCGAGCGCTGTCTCTTTGTGCCCTGACCACGTGGTGGAGTGACCGGGCTGGAGGACTGTCCTGCTTGCTTGAACTTGTCCAGCTCCGCGCTCGAACGAGCGTCATTCCAGAGTTGCTTGTGGTTCTTGAGCACTTCAACCAAAGCGGACGAAAAGGACTGGTAAGTCTGCTTGTGATCTGAGTTCAAACGGTAGACCTTCTTCCTGATCAGGGTGTCAGCGGCCAGCAACAAGGCGAGCCCCCTGTTCTCATGCCGCCACTCCTCCAAGTCTGACAGATACTGCAAGGGGCCCGCTTTGTATGAGAACTCACAAATGTTGAGGTATTCGAGAGCAACAAAGAAGGCGTGCAGTTTGTCCATCACTTGGGCTTCGGAGGCTGCGTGAACTGGTTGATCAACCTGAACCACTTTCAGGAGGTCTTCCGCATTTTTACTCAGACCGGACTTCTGGGCGATCGACTCGTTGCGAGTGCGCATCTCGCCCACCTCATAGAAATTGACCGCCCCGTGGACGAGGAAATCACGCTGGAGCCGCTCAACGAACTTGCGGTGTGGTTCCCTGCGGTGGGGAAGCAAAACATCCGGGCGTCGAGCGATGAACTGTTCACGAAACTCTGCGTGATCCTCGCCCGGGATTTCCGGGACTTTGGACGGATCCTCTTCCATCTTGGCCCGCCGAGCGGCAAAATGGTCCTGCATGGTAGAACATGTCTTCCACACTGCGGCTAGGGTGGTGAGAGCTAGTTCCTGAGCTGGTCCATCCGGCCCGAATTGTAACGGGTCAGTGATCATGGCTTTGAGGGTTTGCTTCACTGCCGCGATCGTATCTCCCAACATGGCGAACGTCTCGACCGTCA